GGTTTTTAATGTGAAGACAACAACAACAACAACAACAACAACAACAACAACAAGCCGTGCGTTTAAATTTGAACGAGATAAACAACGTGACAAAGCGTACACAAGCGACGAGCGTCTTGCCACATCCTTTACTTGTGCGGAACATGTGGTGATGATTATCGTATTCTACGTGGATGACATTTTGGTGGCTGGGTCTGACGAGGATTGCAAGGAGTTGCTTGTGTTCTCTCAACAAGAAATTCCCCTACCAAAAATCTAGGAGAGTGCGAATGGTTTGACGGATGTGCCATTGAGAGGGATGTAGAGGCTGGGACTCTTAAAATCTCGCAAACCGCGTAAATCGACAGCATGGTGAAACACTTTGATGTACAATCGACCTCCCGCATCCCCGCTTCCCCTGGTGTCGACCTAACACCGAAGCGAGATGACGAGAAGGGAGGGAAGTGGCCGGTGAGGGAGGCCATCGGCAGCATGATGTGGGTGTCAACGTTCTCGCGTCCAGACGTCTCGTTCGCCGTGCGTGCGGTAACGCGCCACGTCCACGCCCGGCGAAGAGGTACTGGGATGTCATCCGGAAGATCCTCGGCTACTTGAAGGAGAAGAGGGACCTCGGCATCACCTACCAACGGGGATCGTGGTTAGGGCTGGCCGTGTACGTACACGCCAGCTACGCCGACACGGAGGATAAGCGTTCGGTGTCAGGGTTGGCGACGACGGTTGGAGGTACCGTAGTCAGTCATGGTAGCAAGACACAGAGCATCGTGTATTTGTCGTCGACGGAAGCCGAGTACATTGTNGGGTGTCAACGTTCTCGCGTCCAGACGTCTCGTTCGCCGTGCGTGCGGTAACGCGCCACGTCCACGCCCGGCGAAGAGGTACTGGGATGTCATCCGGAAGATCCTCGGCTACTTGAAGGAGAAGAGGGACCTCGGCATCACCTACCAACGGGGATCGTGGTTAGGGCTGGCCGTGTACGTACACGCCAGCTACGCCGACACGGAGGATAAGCGTTCGGTGTCAGGGTTGGCGACGACGGTTGGAGGTACCGTAGTCAGTCATGGTAGCAAGACACAGAGCATCGTGTATTTGTCGTCGACGGAAGCCGAGTACATTGTTGCCGGGGAGGACGTCAAGGAGGCGTTGTTTGTGCGTGCTGTGCTTTCGTTTGTTACCCCAGAGACCAGTGGTAGCAGCATCCAGGTCCTTGAGGACAACCAGGGGGCCATAGCGTTGGTGCAGAACCCCCTCAGCTCAGGTCGCACGAAACACATCGACGTGAGATTTCATTTCATCCGCGGATTGTTTAGTTCGGGGGATATTTCGGTCAAGTCCGTTCCGACAACGGAGCAACACGCGGACCTCCTAATCAAGGCCTTTAGCAGGGCGAATCTGCAGTACCACCGGCGCAAGTTGATGAATTTGCCGGAGTAACTGTAGCAGTTTCTAGCACTTGGGAGAGGTCATGTTTTCCATGCGGGGAAAGGCGCATAACTGCTGCGGTCTGTGTACTAATGGCAGGAGTAGTTCCTCGCGTTCTTGTCTTCGCCTTGGCCTTTCTAATAAGTGCGGCCGTTGTGATCCACTGTGATAGCGACGGTTTTTGTGGTGGTAGGGTTTTTTTCGAGGGGTTTTGCCCGGACGCCGGGTTTCCCCTCCATACATTACCATGTTGGAATTTTCTGATGTATCCAGGGGCGTTCTGCCCCATTGATGGTTAGTCATTTGGGTGAAGAACCAGGGAGGGTGTTCGTGGGTCTGCGAACATTGGTGTTGGATACATGTGCTGGATGATTTGGCGTCACGCAGACTGGCAAGATTTCCGTTGGTAGGGGTCACCGCGATGATTCACGGGGCCCCTCCTTGCTGTGGGAGCCGACCTTTGAGCACTCCCTCATTCGTCCGTTTGAAGGACGGTCGTCTACCTCTCGTGAAGTTAATACATCACCAAAGCAGTCTCACCCGATAAGTAAGCGACGTAGGCCGCAAACAAGTTTAACAAGTGTCCTTGGACGTGTGTGTGTGGAGGTATAGTAGTACTGCGTGATACATCGGCAGAGACACGTCCCATTCGCTGCTCTGTGCGACAGCTAGGTGAGTAGTTTGTTCCGGAGGAACGCTTCCCAACCGCTCTTCTTGTGCATCTCATGTGCGATCCTTGCGTGGTGTTCGTCATTCGGCAAGGGCCGCAAACAAGATACATACGCTAGGGAACCGCGCGATCACGTGCGACGCCTGACGTGTATAGCGTGTCCTCTTTCAAGCGTTTGTGGGTAGTCGTGCAGATAAGGTCGAAACGAATATGGTAGTACAATTAGCATACTAGCGGTCGGCCAAGTGTCAATGAGTGCGTTGAAACTGGGAAGTGACATTAGGTGCATGTAAATTGATCGCCTTGGACATTAAGCGCCGAATATCTCGGCAGACGAAGCCCGACGCATGCATTGTGATTCAACCGTCGCCGCAGCTGTGTCGTTGACGACAGCAGGCAGTGCCTACACGGACGCGCATCAAGCCAGATCGCTTGACATGTCACTTATCTCTCAAGCATCCCTTTGACACACCTACCCCTCTCGCCCGATTGATCTGGACATGTGCTCGACAGTGATGCCCGTGGACTTCTACGGCCGTCGCCTGACTCCCGACGACGAGAGCGATCCTCTTCACGTCGCGTGTAGTTTCGAGATCTTCTTGGAGGACGTATCATCTCCACTGGAAGAAGAGGACACGATGGTCGACCAGGACCGCCATCTTAGTTGTGGAACCACCCGGTGAAGTGGAAGAGCGGGAGTGACAGCATGCCCAAGTGCGTTCCGTAGCGTTCAAAGGCTTGTTGTTGGTGTTGCTGGTTATGTGAGATAGATGGAAAAAAGATGGTCGTCATGATCCCCAATTAGTATCTGCTTCCCACCACGGCCTCCTTTGGAACTCAACATTTCGTGTGGTTGGGGTTGTCGAGAAGTGATCCCTGGCCACGTAGGACTCATGGTGGATGGAATCGCAGAGAGAGGTTTGACTCCAACGGCGGACACAAAAGCTGTCGAAACGCTTACCGAAGCAGGCTTGGTAGATCTAAACACTTGTTGTTCAGTCAGGTGCGGCGATTGATGCCGACGTGTCACAGTACCCCTCAGGTGTACTGCGTTCGTGCAAGGTGCCTATCAGTAGGCTCGCTGTTTCGGAGAGACGAGTTGATCAGGCACAATGCACTAGTTATGGTTTTGTTGACACGCGGCGTGGACTGCATCAGAAAGGTACCATGATCGCCTAGGTCTCAACAGTGCGTACAAGCCAGCTCGTTTATGGCGGACGGGTCCGTGGGAGTCCGTTCACGCGGTCCTGCGCCATGTCTCGACCTAATTTTGTCGTACATTTAACCGTCCTCCTCTATGTACTTGGATGGGGTCTCGCAACACAATAGGTGGAAACGCAACCAGAAGGAAAGGGGAGACTTCGCCGACACGGAAAAAGCGGATCCGGAGGGGGTGGGGCTGCGGATGAAAGACGCGACCGGGTGGCGAGTAAGGCGATGCCTCGAAAGGGTCATGCGGCCTACCCGGGGGGGCCAGGGGAAGGTATCTGCACCGACGCGTACCACACACGCAGCATCAGCTGTCCAAGTTACGGTAGATATTAATTTGTTGGCTTCCGCTTTCGTTCCGTTTCTTTCCCCCTCTGATTTGCACCCTCCGGCATTGATGCCACGTGGTGCATTTGGCGGGTAGTTGAGGCAGGAAGCTGTGCTTTGTTTTTCGGTAGCGCGAGTTGACTTTGTCGGCTATTTTTTTCTTTTCTTTTCTTTTCCCCTCTGATTTGTACCCTCCGGCACTGCTGCCAGGTGATGCATTTCGAGGGTAGTTGAGGCAGGAAGCTGCGCTTTGCGTGTCGGTGGGGCGCATCACGCGCGGATTTCGTTCGCTTTTAGCGCCAGCAATCAAGCACAAGGCTGTGTTAACTCTCCCACTCATTCGTGGAATCGGCTGTGGAATCGTTCAAATCTTTCGTTGCTTCGGAGTATCATTCATTTGGGCTGAAAATGCTGCAATGGACGTCCGTATTCCCCGGTATGACATTGTTACGGGATTTGAATTCGCTCGCGAAGGAGGCGTCTTCCTTGTCGGCGGCTCAAGACCGCTTGACCAAGGTCCACGCTGGCAACCGTCAGCGCCGGGAGCAGCACGACAAGGACAAGGCGCGGCGCCAGCGGGCCCGTGTAGCTGACGGCCTCCGGGTTGAACGCTCAAGGGGCCCTGCCGCTGCTATCCCGCCGGAGCCGGTGTCGTCGCCGCCGGCCGCTCCTTCATACGCGACTGCTGCTGCGAGCCCGGCGACCCGCTCCAGTGGACACTCCTTGGTGTTCAAGAACGGAGACGACCTTTTCGCCAAAGGTCGGCTGTCCGATACGGTCCAGGCAGCCCAATTCAACTTCCGCTCGGCCGACAGGGAACGCGTCCTCCTTACGGCCACCCGCGTGGCCGTCGACGTGCCGGTCGGAGCGACCGTCTCCGATGCTGTGCACGCCGCAAAACACAATGCGGAGCTTCACGGCAAGGTGGAACTCCTGGTCTCCGCTCTTCGGGCGGCCCACGGCCGCGTGACCCAACAGGTCCAGTGGCTAGGGTGCACCATACCATCTGCTGCAGCTCTGGCGCCTGTTCCGTCCGCCACCACCTTCGACCTCCCGCCTCCGCCGAAACAGCACAAGGCCGGTGCTAAGAGTGGTGGGCGTGGGCCGGGTAAGGGGTCAGGGGGCAGCAGTTCTGGCGGCGAAAACGACTCCAACGGTTGGTGTCGCTCCAACGATTCCGGAGCTGGCCGGTGCCACCAAGGAGGCCGCCCGCGGGACGCATCTTCGGATCGGCGCCAAGCGGGAGGCCACCAGCGTGATGCTGTTCTGACCAGCGCCAGCGTGGCCGTGCTCCTGCTGCTGCCGCCTCTTCTTCATCTTCGTCCTCCGGGCAGAAGAAGAAGGTTCGGAGGGGCGCCCGCCCCGCCGATTCGGTCAGCGGAACCAGCTTTGGCTCCGCTTCGGAAAACAGTCTTACTCGGAAGGCTCCCGCTGGCAAACGGGATGACTCAGGTCTTTCCGCTTCCGGGCAAGTGGTACCGTCGTTAATCATTATTGCCTCCGACGATCGTTTAGACGCTATGTTGCGTAACGGTCGTGTAGTGGCAACGGAAAAAAAGTTGTCTGTTGCCCACCGTGCTGCTGTATCTTATGCTAAACCGTCGGTCAAACTAGAGCACCGTGCACTCGATGCACGTGTGCGAGTCGATGATAGTGCTCTACCGCTTTCATCCACTGTAGCTCATGCTCTCCAAGATGCTGTCGATGTGGCCCAAGCTGCAACTGACGCTGTCCATTTCGCCAAGGTTCAACCTGAATACATCACCCTCAATCTTGAAAAAGTTGAACGTGTTGCTACTCTGCCTTTCCCTGCATCCGTGCTGCCTGCTGATGCATACCAACAACTGATTCGCTCAGTGAGGTCTTGACTGACATATTGCTGTTGCGCGATGACCGAAGTCGTGGTTTGACGGATATTGATTTTGTCCGTGGTTGGGAACGCCCCTTCAAGAAGAAACTTTCGAGCGCTATCACCCCTGACAAACCTACGACTTCCGACCTCACCCTTTCCACCTCTGACTACTTCCAGCAAGCAACGACGAGCCTGGATGGCGGAGCTACAGGATCTGAGCCGTTCCAGCTTCTACTGAGGCACCTGTCGGAGCAGTTTGATGTCGGAGATCGCCAGGAGCCATTTTACGGCTTCAGCAATTCGGCCTTTCGGATGAAACCTACTTTTCGGATTATCTTCGGGCTTTCCGTTTGTTGGTTTCGTCGTTTACTGGGTCTGGGCGTGTGTTGGCTTCAAGCGTGTCGACGGTCCTCGAGATCGTTAGAAACTCTGCTAGAAAGCAGTGTCCGACTTTGGCACACGTGTTGTACCCTGGTGGTTTGGCTACTGCGGTAACGCCTTTTGGTTCGATAGATGCCATGTGGCAGGCATTCGCGTCTTTGGCTACCAACAATACGCCGCGATTGGGGGTTCCAACTATTTTCCTCTGCCTTCGACACCCAGCTCTTCGCAGCCTCGGCGTTCACCAACGCAGAATCGTGCGTCAGCGCCTTCGGGCCAGTGGTCACAAGGATCTGCACAGAACCCTGTTGTACTGACAGTAAGTTTTCAGGAGAGCAGTGTGGATCCTTTCACCCGTGATTACAACTCCTGGCCTGCGAAGCAGGGCGACTGGTCGACTCTGTACCAAATCAGCTCTACCTTTCGCAATGATGACCCTTTTTTATGGACCCCTCTTTTGACACAAGATACTCGCTCGCAAGCGTTCCGAGAGAACCGCAATCGTTGCCTCAATTGTGATGGCGACGATCACTCCATGAAAAACTGCCAATCCCCGTCCATCAACTCTAGTGGGTTGTTGAACCCTGACCTGAACCCTGTTGTACTGACAGTAAGTTTTCAGGAGAGCAGTGTGGATCCTTTCACCCGTGATTACAACTCCTGGCCTGCGAAGCAGGGCGACTGGTCGACTCTGTACCAAATCAGCTCTACCTTTCGCAATGATGACCCTTTTTTATGGACCCCTCTTTTGACACAAGATACTCGCTCGCAAGCGTTCCGAGAGAACCGCAATCGTTGCCTCAATTGTGATGGCGACGATCACTCCATGAAAAACTGCCAATCCCCGTCCATCAACTCTAGTGGGTTGTTGAACCCTGACCTCGGAGAATTGCAAGACAATTCTGAAGCTCTTGGCGTTGGCCAGGTCGCACGAGGTCCCACCGTCGCAAACAGCAACACGGGTCCCATGCTAGTGGTAAGCACAAACCCCAACTCTTCTTCTCAGCATTGAAATCACGCTGGAAGTCACCGTTCCCCCGGAAATTCCCACCATTCTGGTGCGCCAACAATGGAAAATTTGCCGTCAACAGTCAGCAACACAGCAACACCCATCACACCGGTGCTCTGCAAAACCAACCGCAATCTTCTCCCGCGGTTCCGATGGCTTCGCCCTCCGGTGTCATGGTTTTGACCAATTACAATGCCCAACAGCCGGGAAATTTCCATACCGGCGGTAGCTCGGGATGACTTATCGTTGGCGGTTCGTATACCTCCCCCGAGCCGTCGTTGGCACCATCGGGAAATTTGGCACGTTCTTCACAAGACGTACGTGTATCAGGGTTGGCGGAGCCATGCGCTCCTGACCCGCCCAACATCAGTTCTGTTACAGCACCCGCTGTTTCTCCTGTTGCCGCTGTCAGACAGGCAGGGAACGCACGTCGCCGTGTTGTCCCTCCCTCTACTGGCATTTCATCTGCGACCTCTGCTACTTCGCCTGTTCGGGCTGCTTCTTCCTCGAGAATTAACCCACCCAATGGGAGTGCTGCCTTGAGGTGCGGGAACAGAGCGGCAAGACGGGTAGGACCACTGAGATCATCTCGACAGCTTCCCCGACCGTCTGCAGGTCAGACCGGCATGCGCCAAGTGTTTCCTACGATCTATGAGAATTTGTCGGAAGTGGTTAATTCAGATAAAGATTCTGTTTCGTCTGATTCGTCTAGGCTCGCCTCAGCCGTTGGTCCGCCAACCGCCACGGCACCGGTAGCGGTTTCGTCAGGTGACGACCGACGATTGTCGCATCCCGGGGTTCAAGAAACCCCGCAATTGCCAACGAACGGTAGTGCAGTGGTACATAAGAAGCATACCCCACCACCGACGTTGAGAGTGCTGACCACACTGTCTCTTGAGGACCCTCGAGGGGTGCCCGCCGTTTATGCGGCGTGCTCGTGATCTGCGTTAAGAGGGACTAGCCAGGAGCCACGTGCACCGTCCGATGCTTTAGCAGACAACGCACGAGAGGCCAATCCTAGCGAAAGCGATCGGTATTCCCCCCGGTTCGGTATGGATGCGGGTACGGTCCTAGATCTAGAAACGGGCAGCCCCATACGAAGCGTGGCGACTCCGTTTATCTCGGCAAATTTGGCAGTGGATTCGAATTCTCCGAATGACCCCTTACCTGTTTTACGAACTCCAGCAGTGGGTGCTATTCCCACTCATACTGCTGGCGCTCGACAGCCTTCAGAAGGTGCTGTTTTTTATGCTTTCCAGGAGTACCACACTTCAGACATGATTTTGGTCAGGAAATTCCCTCCCCCTTTTGCCAATGGACGCCGTCTACTATTGTAGTTGATGGCGTTTATTATTTGTGTGCCGAGAAAACTTTTCGCTGCCGAAAAAGGTCGCCTCTTTGGAGATAAACACATTTTGCAGTGCATCATGAGAGTCTCTGACTCCAGCCTTTACAAGAAGTATGATCGTGAGGTTGGTGGTTTCGACCTAACTCCTTGGGAACAAGAGCGCGAAAACCTCGTGCTCACCGGTTCTTGTGCTAAATGTAGTCAAACCTCAGAGTTTCACCCGCATTTGCTTGGTTCTGGGGACAAAATATTAGCCGAGGCCAGTCCGTATGACCGTATCTGGGGTATCAGTCTCCGTGCGGATCATCCTGACGCTTGCCGTCACCTGAGGTGGCGTGGTCTAAATTTTTTGGGAAATGCTTTACAGCAGGTTCGCCAACTTTTACGATCTAACGCCCCTCCACCGGAACGTAGTTCTCGCCTTTCGACCGCGGGTTCGACTCCCACTTCGTCGTCGGAAGGGGGTACCGTGTTCGAAGCATATCTACACATCAACGTCTTTCGACGACTTCTGAGCCATCCTCTCGTCGTTTTGCGCCTGTTGCGCAGTACGCCCGCCATGTTCCTTCTCATCATGACACTAGTGTTTGGGCTGTGTCTCCTGGCGAGGATCGCTCTCGTTCCGCTTCGACCCTGCTCCCTGGGCAAGGTCCTAGTTTAGTCGGTGGTGTTATTACCGTCGATGACGACTCTTTCACTACCAAAATCGTTACTCACAGTGGTTCAGCCTCTGCTCAGTTTGGATTTGTGGCTTTGTTGGCTACTGGCTCCCCGCAATCGTTCATCATTTCCCGTACTTGGGAATCCAGAATCTGCTGGTGCAGCTTCGTCTTTGTTTGAAACACGCACAGCACCTCGGTGTTGGGGCGGGTTTGGTGAATCTGCCCCCTTTCAGACGTCGATTTCGGTCCGTTTGAGCGTACAGTTTCTTCGACGTAAGTTTCCAACTGCGTCTCTTGCCGTATGAGCGTACGTTGTTCCTGATGGCGTTATGCATCATGACGTATTGCTCGGCAGAGACAGCTGGGTGCGGTTTAGCGACCGCTCCTACCGCACTTTGGCCTCCAAGAGGCCTGAACACAGTGTTTTCGGCGAGCTCACGTTGGCCCACCACACGAAGAGTGGCGCCGAAGTGTTTGTTCGCGATGTCTCCGCGTCCGCGGGGAACTACCAGCTTAGGTACGCTGGAAAGCACTCCATTCAAATGCTGCTTGAGCATCAACTGGTGCAAGTTGATATGGTGCGCACCGATGGCTCATCTGCCCTGGGGGGCTACCACATGGTGGATATGCTCCCTCAAACGTCGATGTTTTCTTCTGAAGAACACTTTGTCACGCATGACCGTCAACGTGTACCGTTGGCGGGTGCTTCGAGCTTGGAGCCCGGAGATGTTTTGGGTGCCGCTTCTGCGCCCCGCCTCCAAGTACCGCTTAGCGCTGTCCCGCACAACGATTTGAGCGATGGTCTTCAAACCACCGTCGTTCCGCCGGATACCGCTTCTGATGCCTCCAGCTGCGCAGGTTGCGTCCCTGGTCCCGTCTTCCCCGATGGGGACCCCCGCTCTGTTGTGCCGCCAACGGTCGACGCGTTTGTATACAACTTGCAAGAACGTTCTACCAAACCGCCGCACGCGGCGTGTGGTGAAGGTTCTTCCGATGACCCCTTTGCTTCACCTCCGCCGGCCCTTATGGAACGCTTGAGTCCGGAACAACGTGAGAGCCCGGAACCACGTGACAGTTTTTCCCTCATGTGGTCGAAACTTCCTCCTCATATGAGAGAAATGACGTTCAAATTACATGGTCCTGGTTGGACGCCTGAAGTTATCACGGAGTTGGGTAATATTTTGTGCGCATACCACGATGCATTTCCCGGTCTCCCACGGATTTCGGCTCATGATC